GTGGGACTCTAGTCACATAAAATTAAAGTCAGAGGAATATGTTAAACGACACCACAGGAATGCAATGACCAAATTCCAGAATGTAGGAAACTCTGCAAGACAAATACCTTATTTCTTCAATAAATAAATTGAACACAGAAAAAGAAAGGACCTCTCCAAATCCTACCTATTCCACCTCCCACACTTTCAAAACAAAAGAGAGAGGCAAAAGGAGAACCTATCGGCTAAACCTAACAATCAAGTGCAATGGCAGCCCTTATTTGGATCTTAATACAAACAAACACATTATAGTTTTTTAATTATGGAACAATTGGGTATGTTTGAATACTGACTGGAAATTTGATAAAATGAAGACATTTTTGTTGATTTTTAAGGTATAATAATAGTATCATGGTTACATACCATATAAAGATGCCCCCTCAAGGCCACCACCTCCCTACAGCTGTACTGGTACTGGGGATGGAACCCAGGGCCTCAGGCATGCTAGGAAAACACTCTACCACTGAGATAATTAATCCCCAGCTCCATTTAGAGTTCTTATCTTTTAGAGAGACATACTGAAATGTTACAGATGAAGCAATAGGGTGTTTGAAATTTGCATCAAAATAATCCAATAGAACGTGGGCTACATGAAGGGGGGTTGCTATCTTATTCTCTTTAATTTTGTGAATACTTGAAATTTTCCATAATAAACAGTATCAAGGGAAAAAAAAGCTAACATTGACTCATTTTCATTCTTTCTACATTTTTGCTACTAAAAAAAAAAAAAAAAAAAAAACAAAAAACTACCACCGCCAACGCTGAACTTGGTAGTTTGAACCAGAGAAAGGCAATGGGCTAAAAGGTGTTGTACCAAAAAAAAAAAAAAAGAAAAGAAAGAAAAAAGAAAAGTTAATACTTCAAAATATTTTTTGAATTGAGGTGAAATTCACATAATATAAAATTAACTAAAAGTATAGAGTTCAGTGGTATTTGATATATTCACAACGTGTAATTGCCTCCTCTAAAGTTCTGAAGCATCCATCACCCCAAAAGGAAGGCCCATATCCATAAAGCACTCACTTCCCCAGGCCCTGGCAACCACCCATCTACTGTGTTTCTACTAATTTACTGATTCTGGATATTTCCTAAAAATGGAATCATCCAATGGGGACCAACCTCATAGTCGCCGTGCTCTGTCACACACCAGACGCTGGCTAAGTGCTAGAGGTAAGATGAGGAAGAGGACAGACCTGACCCCTGCCTTCATGGGGCTTACTAGAGGGACATTATTCAAATAAACACATACAATTCACTAGCTAACTGCAAATGTGCAAATGATGCAGAGAACAAAACCCATGGGAAGGACAAATGAGGGGGCCTGATCTAATCTGGGGAAGGAGGGAAGGCTTCTCTGAAGAGAGGACATCTGAGCTGAGCCCTGAGGAATGAGCAGGGGCTAAGCCAGGGAAAGAGGAGATTAACAAATGGTTGCCAGTCAGAATGGAGCTGTGGAAGGCAAAGTGGGAGACTGAGAGGTATAGACAGAGGAGTCAGGAAAGTTGATTTGGTTTATTTTTGTTTTTGTTTTATTAGCCAAAGTCCATGGTTTACATTAGCGTTCACTCTTTCTTTTGTACAGCTTGCTGGGTTTTTAACAAATACAGAATGGCATGAATTCGTCAATGACAAGCGTCATACAGAACGGTTTTGTGGTGCTAAAAATACCCTGTGCTTCACATATTTATCCCTCCCTGTCCACCACCCCCTCCCCAGATGTTGGCAACTACAGATAGTTGTTCCTATCTTTGGTAGTTGTGATTTTACTAAAATGTCATATAGTCGAAACCACAAAACAGGTAGCCTCTTCAGACTGCTTTTTTTTCCACTTGGCAATATTCATTTAGGGTTCCTCCTCGTCTTCTTATTCCTTGTGAGTGTGTTGTGCATGTGTGTGATAGAGGTGGTGATAAAGTAATATAACATAAAGTTGTCATTTCAACCATTTATTTTTATTTATTTTTTTGAGACAGGGTCTCACTATGTTGCTCAATCTGTGCTCAAACTCCTGAGATCAAGTGATAGTCCTCCATAGTTTGGGGATGACAGGGATGTGCCACTGTGCTGGGCTGCCACTGTAGCCATTTTTAAATGCACAGTTCAGTGGAATTCACATAGTTGTGCAACCATCGCCACCATCCACCTCCAGAACTTAGCTGATTCCTTTTTATTGCTTAATAAATTCTACCATATGAATGTACCATGGTTTGTTTATCCACCCACCAATTGATGGAAGATTTGTTTTTAAACAAGACCACCAGTGGGACAACCAATTGGCAGAGGCTACTGCTGCTGCCCAGGCAAGAGAGGATAGTGGGGGCTGGGGATGTGGCTCAAGCAGTAGTGCGCTCGCCTGGCATGCGTGCAGCCCGGGTTCCATCCTCAGTACCACATACAAACAAAGATGTTGTGTCCGCCGAAAACTAAAAAATAAATATAAAAAAAAAAAAGAGAGAGAGAGAGGATAGTGGCTTCTGCTGGGGTGAACTCAGTGAACAAATGAAAAGAAATGAGTTGTCACTGGCAAGACCTGCAGATAGATAGTTAGTGGGGTTGAGAAGTTAAGGATGAGATACAGCTTTCTGGCTTGCGTGACCAGGTGGATAGATGGTGGTATCATTGACTGAGATGGGAAATGGATTTGGGAGAAGGCCATGAATTCAGCTTTGGATCTGAAGTGTTGAGTTTAAAGTGCCTGAGAGACATCCAAGTGGGCGTGTGATGTGTCCTATGGGCTTAAGGGCCTAGAGCACAGACCTGTTCCCTCTCACTCTTTCCCCTCCCCACCACACAAGTTATTCTCTGGGCCTTATTTCTGTTCCTGAACTGGCTAAGTTCCCTCCATCCCAGGAACCATGGCACTGCTACTCCCTTTGCCTGGAACCCTTCTGCCCCGAGAAGGTCACTTGTCTAGCCCCTTCTATACATTCAGATCTTACATCAAACATTGCCTATTCAGAGAATCCTTCCAAAAACCCAGCTAAAGTCAGTGACAGGAGAGAGCCTAGGGATCTCACTGGTCAAATTGTGCTGTAACAGTGAGACAGGGGAAAAAAAAAACAAAAAAACTTCCAAGGATAAAGAGGAAAGGCAGACAAGAAAAGACTGGTTAACAGGTCCAAAATTACAGTTAGAAATAAGGAACAAGCTGGGCATTGTGCACAAGTTGTAGTCCCAGGGATGCTGAGGTGGAAGGATCACTTGCGCCCACAAATTCAAGACCAACCTGAGCGACATAGTGAGATCCATCTCAAAAAAAAAAAAAAGTTCTAGAGTCTATAGCACAGTAGGGTGACTAAAGTTAATAATAATTCATTGTGTATTTCAAAATAACGAAAGAAAGGATTTCAAATATTCTCTCCATGCAGGCAATGGATAAGCTAACAACTTTGATTTGATCATTACACAATGTACACATATATCGAAATAGCACACTTATCATGTGTTAACTAAAAATGATTTTTTTTAAATTCCAGAAACTTAGTGCTTATAACAATAAACATTCATTTCTCACCCAGAGGTCTGCAGGTCAACTCGACTCAGCAGGGCTTTTCTGAACTGGGCTGAGCTCCAGGCTGTGGGTCATGCATGGCTGCCTCACATGTCTTCTCATTCTGAGACCAGCTGAAGAACCCCCCCACAACACTGCCTGGAGTTCTCATGGCCAAGGACAGTTGCTCAAGAAGTGGGAATGGAAACATTCAGTACCTTAGAGCTGGCCCCTGTCATTTCCACACATATTCTCTTGGCCAAAGCAAGTCACATGGCTAAGTTCAATATCAACAGGGTAAGGAAGTATATTCCTCCCACAGTGGGGAGGTCTGGAGGAAGTAAATATTTGCTGAACAATAATATAATCTAGCAAATGACCCAACTCTATTTTTCCTATATGGCCATGTTTATTGAGAAATACCCTACTCTTACAACGTAAGATTTTCTATAAATGAATGAGTGCATGGGAGAATGTGCCTTTCCAGGCAGGAAGATCGTGTGTGTGTGTGTGTGTGTGTGTGTGTGTGTGTGTGTGCGTTTTGTGTATTACTGGGGATTGAACCCAGGGACGATCTACCACTGAGCTATATCCCCAGCCCTATTAATTTATTTTTCTTTTGAAACAGGGTCGTATCTTACTAAGTTGCTGAGGCTGGCCTTAAACTTGCAATCCTCCTGCATCAGCCTCCTGAGATACTAGGATTACAGGAGGGTGCCAACACACACCAAGCTTCGCTCCACTCTTCAAATGAGGAACGAGAGGCTCAGAGAAAGGAAGTGACTTGCCAAAAGTTATAGAAACCACCTGTGGCTTTTCTGGTGCCTACAGCTTAGTTCCCCCACATGTGGGAAATGAAGCAGCAAAAAGCTGTTTTCAGGGTAGCAAGGCTATATACCACCTATTTTTGTCTTCTCACCGAGACTTGATTGACAGACACATAATCAGGGGTAAGTCCACCAGAGCATCTCCTTGCTGATTCAATCTCAGTTCTCACTTTGAAGCCAGGTAGGACCCTGATTCATCATTTCCAGATCTCCAAGTCCCAGATGGCAGATGTGCATTGAATAGGTGAGTCATTGGTACCTTGGTAGTTTTAATTGCTGACTAAGAGTTTCATGAATTCTCTGTCCTGCCCCAACTGTGCCTTCCCCTAAGGTACAAGCAGTCACCTCTGCCTTTACAGGGACCTGCGGGATTGAACAGAATGGGACACTCGGTGGAGCTTAAAAATGAAGAACAAGCAGAGGAAAAGTCTGGAAGGATATGCCTCAGATAAACAGTGAGTGATTCTTTTGAAGCAGGGCTACTTACGACTTAAGCTCTCCATTTTGGGACTTTATGTAACATTTGAACAGTTAATAATATTTTGCTTCTACAGATGTGACTACAGGTATGCTTCTGATTGCATAGGTTGCTATCATTAAGAAGAAAAAAATTGACCTGGAAATATTTTAAAGTTCATACTTACGTGCAGAAAGCAATTCCTGGCTGGTTGGTTGGGAAACTCCTGAAAATCTTCTTCTTCCAGAATCCTACTCCCACACATTGTCAGAAAGCTGTTTTCAGAAACACTGAGTCAATTCCCAACCACTCCCTCAGTCGGCAAGCCAGTGAACACCTACCACACGCCTAGTGCTGAGTGAGCCATCAGGGTGACAGGTGAACAGGCAGGGAAACAGGTGGTAGCCAGAGTCAGCAAGGCCCACATTCATACCATAGTTGACATGGATGGGGCTGACCATGGGCCAGACACCGTGCTAAGTGCTCTCCGTGGATTATCACATTTGATCCGCACAACAAGCTGATGAGGTAGGAGTTATTATTATGCTGCTTTACAGCTGTGGAAACTGGAGTGCAGAGAGGCAAAGGAACTTGCCCAAGGTCACAAACTAGCAGATGGTGGAACTGACATTTGATTCCAGAGCTTGTGAGCTTAACTGCTACCCCACACTGCCTCCCACAAGGAACTTGTCCAAATTCCATGACCAGTAAGTGGCAGAGTCAGAATTCAAACCAGGAAAGGTTCACCAGCCTCCCAAGAATATGCTCTGAACTGGTAAGTCGTCCTTCTCCCTTTCAAGCCTCCCCACTTCTAGATGCTGCACAAACATGCTGGGTGACCTTGGTTAGCCTTTCTGAGCCTGCTGTCACTGCCGCAAAATGGGAAGAATGCTGCTTACCCAAAGGAGCTGTAGAGAGGCTTATTTGAGAAGCCGGTTCCTCCGTGGGCTTGGTAGGCACTCGGTAGAGATCTGTGTTCTTCTTGCTTTCCAGGAGTTTAGTGCAGTCGGCCAAGTGGACGCAGGAGCAAGTCTATCCAATAAGCTCTATGACTGAGGTGTACTATGAGCTGGGGGCCAGGAGAGGGCCAGGAGAGGGTTAAAAGTCAAGGGTTGCCATGTATCCAGAAAACTCAGTTGAGGGAACACTGGAATAAACAATCCCCAGAAGGAGGGCAGTTTAGTTCGTCATCTTTCCTGTTTTCCAAGCCTGGCCCAGTCCCAGAACCTCTTCTTAATCTTGTCAGAATTTGGCCCTCTGCCCAGGAAGGAGCCATCAGGAGCCTCAAAGTGAGCCAAGTCTTCAAGGAAGTGATGTCTTTTGTGGGTCAAGAAGAGAAGCCAGGAGTGGTGGCACACATTTGTAATCTTAGCTACTAGGGAGGCTGAGGCAGGAAGACCAAAAGTTTAAGGCCCAGCCTGGTAAAAATAAATAAAGGGCTGGGGGATGTGTGTTATATCAGTGGTAGCGATCTTACCTAGCATATGTGAGTAAGGCCTCAGTGTACTGAGAGAGAGAGAGAGAGAGCGCACAAGAATCTTTCTGGGAGAGAGAAGGAGGCAAAGACAGAATCAGGGAAGGGTCTAGCCAGCAGACTAGTCCATGAACCAGTGGAGAAACTGAGGCTTAGAACAAAGCAAGGCTTACTGATAATGCTGGTGGCAGAGTTGGGACTAGGAGCCTATATTACTGGCTCCCAGAGCAGAGTCCTGTCCACTGCAAATGCCAGCTGCTCACCTGCTTCTTACTCCAGGACCACCCCCCTTTTCCCGCAACTCCTTCCAGTACCATCTCCCCTTACCGCACTAGAGACTTCAGATGCACAGCTATGGGTCCTGCGGATACTAGAGAAGGAATCAGCAGCTGCAAACACCTTAGTGGGCTTGTCCCTGTGGGAAATGAGGATGAGAGACCGTCTGAAAGAAGGAACCAGTGACTCCTGAGCACCTACTACATATCTGTGCCGTGGCTGGCACCTTCAATACTTCACATCAGCTACTTCTCACACTAACTCTGGGAAGTAGGTTGCATCCCCATTTTGCAGATGAGCAACCTGGGGTTCATGGGAGAGATGCTTCCCTCTCAACTTTACCTGCAGCCCATAACTCTCCTCTGAGCTCTGGGCTGGGCTATCCACTTTGTCGTGGGCATCCACATGCTTTTCAAACTTAACTTGAATGATACTGAACTCATTAGCTTTCCCTCCCACAGACTTCTGGTTTCCCATCATAGCTTTGCAACTCAGAACCAGAATAGCTTTATCCTTCATCTACTCTTGCTCTGCTCCCGTCTCCAAGGAGTATCCTGGTCCCACCTCTCATTCTATTTTCCAGACACTGACTTTCCTTAATGCCAAGGTTTGTAGCATAGTCCAGAGTTCATCTCCTTACTCCTGGATGACTTCACCATTCTGCCCCCAGATTTATTTACACCCATCCATGCTACCCAAATATTAGGGTAGTGTCAGGTATGGTGGCACATGTCTGTAATTCCCAGCTTCTGAGGAGGCTGAGGCAGAAGGGTCACAATTTCAAGGCCAACCTGGGCAACTTAGCAAGACTCCACTTCAAATAAAAAGGACTGAGGATATAGCTCAGCGTTAGAGCACTTACCTTGCATGTGCAAGACCCTGGGTTCAATCCCAGGGTCAGGAAAAAAAAAAAGTGGGGGTGGTAATTTCCCTAAAATGCAAATCTGCCTAGCCTCAACCAGCTGAAAACCTTTCAGTGGTTTCTCAATACACTCAGGATAAACCTTTTACTAGAGTTTATCAGGTCCCAAAAGTTTTGTCCCTCACTGCCCTCTCTGGTCTCATATTGGGTCACTCCCTAACTTTTGTCCTCAAGCCTCAGACACCCTGGAATGCTTGCAGTTTCTCTTTTACTTCAAGGCCTTGGCACATGCTGTTTTCTCTGCCTTTGCTTGGCTAACTCCTTCTCATCTTTCAGGCCTCAGCTTAGTCACCACTTCCTGACCACCCCCCTCTCAAGCTTCATGAGCTGCCCCTCCAAAGAATTCCACAGTCCCCCTATACTTCCTCAGCTGGTTCCTGCCCCTCCCTCTCCCAAGCTCTGCAGGCCAACAAAGCCTTCCTCACTGTCACAGATTGTTGGAGCAGCACTCTCCAAAGGAAATACAATGCATGCCATACACACATATACGTAACTTTTCCAGGAGCCACATTTTAAAAAGTAAAAGGAAATAGATGAAATTAATTTTAGTGACATTTTAATTCAATATTTCAAAATGGTATTTTAACATATAATCAATATACAAATTATTAGCATTTATTTCAAAATCTGGTGTGTATTTTATACCCAGTCAATGCTGATTTGAAGTAGCCACATTTCAAGTACTCAATAGCCCCATGTGCTTGTGGCTATCAGATTGGATGGCACAGTTTTGGAGGATGCTTAAAGCTAACTAATCTGTTTCCTGTTCTGGGGGAAACTAATTCTGAGAAATATTCATGGGTAGTCTGTAGGGGGAAAAATAAGAAAAGAAAAGATTCTATGTCAAATACATCTTGAAAACACTGACAAAGTGAAACAGGATTTTTATGCTAGTTAAAATTTAGTTAGTCCTCTCTGTGCTAACTAATCTGAGATACAATAATAGAAACAGACCAGAGAGCATATAGCATTTCCCCAACTTATCTGAGCTCAGAACTTTGTTTTCATAAAGCATTTCCAGGGATTAGTGTCCAAACGAATGTTCTTTGGCAAATTTTGTTTTGGTCACATCTTTAACTCAGGAGATCCCAGGATTCCCACAGGGAGAACTTAGGGTTCAAGAAGCCAACCTCAAGTTTCTCTGCACTCACAACCTGATTACTGAATTGACTAATTCTGGGAAGTCACAGAGGTCAGGACTAGGATCAGTGAGGAAGAAGTGCAGCATTTTTGAGCTCAGGCAAAAAGGTTTAGTGTGTGTGTGTGTGTGTGTGTGTGTGTGTGTGTGTGTGTTTAAACCACTTGAAACTAAGTTGCTAGAATGGTCTGGAAAATGCAGTAAGTAAGTGGCCTTGTGAGATGATGATTTTCTATCACTAAGAGTGATCAAGTCTGGATTTCTGTGTGGGGCAAGAGGCTCCTCCCCAGAACTTCTAATTTCCCTTTTTTAAAACTTAAAAAAAAAAGCAGTAGTGGGCAGCAAACTGTGTCAGAGGAAGTGGTCAGACATGTTCTGGAACCTTTATAAAGAACACACTGAGATTCTGGAGGCTTTGGTGGAGGATTAATTTATAGCCAGAGTCCCTTTGAGACTACAGGTTCTTGGTTCAGTTCAGAGGATCCTTAATCCATTAGACACAGTCAACATCTGGTCATTGACTAATTGGATAAATCAGTCATCCATCACAATGTGTGCCTTGGTGGTAGACAAGAAGATGGTCTGTTTCTTTTAAAATGGCTTGTATGGGATAAAACCAGGCAAAGCCAATCAATACTATTGTAAGTCATCAGTACAGTGATTATCTTTGGGGATGATGACAGAAAAGAAGCACGCACAGGGTTTTTCAGGGTGCCGATCATGTTCTGTTTCTTGATTAGGTGCAGTTACATAGATGCATTCAGTTTGTAAAAATTCATCAAGCTCTACATTTTTGATATGTGCACTTTGGGGTATGTATAATACACTTCCATAAATAGTTTTAAAAATTGCTTTTGTGATGATGCACTACTTTATCCACTAAGAAAAAAATAGTGTGATTCTGATGAACCCAACTAAAATGATCGGGCTGGTCTGATTTGAGCTGGGGAAGAAGAGGTTAACCATTAATGAGATGTTTTTTTCCTGTAAGTTCTGAGCAGCATTTTTGATAGCTAAGAGGGCAACTAAAGGTTGGCTAGGCTTCAGCAAAGCCCCTAAGCATCCAAATCCAGAGAGCAGATGAAATCAGACCAGTCATCTTAGAACCTCCAGGTGCCCATCAATAGGATACCTGAAAGTACCCAGAAGCGAAGATCTTTAAAGATTGGGCTATGTGTCCCTATGCCTATCATGGGACCTGACACAAAGTAGGTGTCTTCTTCCCTCTTCTTCCCTAGATTTCAGGGATGGTGGTCCCAGAAATGCCCAGGCCTACTGTGAGAAGGAGGGCATTGCCCCATGAGGGGCCATCAAGGATCACAGAGGCTAACACACCTGGGTTTAGAATGGAAGGGGAAACGAAACCCTTGTATGGCTCACATGTGTTCAAACAGCTACAAAGAAGCCACCTGTGGTCAATTGAAGAGTGCTTGGGGAGAAGGAGGGAACTTTATAGAAGTGGGGGGAGGTGGCTAAAAAAGATGGATTTCAGGTGGTGAAGGTTGGGGAGGTCAATGAAAACAGCAGTTAAGAATAACAGGCAATACATCAGAGGGTGAGAGTAGGTTGGGGGAAAGGTAGGTTTCAGGTAGGGGAAATGCAGTATGTCAAAGAAAACAGGAGTTAAGCAGTACACCATTGAGCAAAAGAAGAAGGAAAAAAAAACACCCTTGGGCATAGAACTTTTTGACATTGATAAAACATGTAGTCAAGCAGTTCTCTTGTCTGTGAAAATGAGACAATAATAGTTTCTTCCTCTTGGCGTGATTAAGAGGACAAAATCAATCCATGCATAAAAATTATACCAATCTTATCATTTCTATCAATAATAAAGGTATTGATAATACAGTAGGAAGAAACTTCTACTTCCAAAGGAGCCCAGGTAATCTGACTTGAGAGGAAATACAACTAAAAATCTAGAGGGGAGAGAATAGAGCAGCCAGAAAGGGGCTCTTAAAAGAGGAACTCTGGAACTTCTAAGCAAATTCGGTGTTTAAGTATATACGTAGTTTGGAAGGAGGAGATGGCCCATAGCTGCATGGGTTTCTTGAGAAGTCCATGGCACAGTGCTCCTCTTCCCATAGTTTAAAAAGTACTGATCTAAGCTGGGTGTGGTGGCACATGCCTATAATCCCAGCAGCTAGGGAGGCTAAGGTAGGAGGACCACAGGTTCAAAGCCAACCTCAGTAATTTAATAAGGCCCTAAGCAATTTAGCAAGACCCTGTTTCAAAATACAAAATAAAAAGGACTGGGATGTGGTTCAGTGGTAAAGCACTTCTGAATTCAAACCCTGCCCCCCGCCCCCAAAAGAAAAAAGTACTCTTGAAGAAACAAGAGAAGG